GCGTGCGCGCAGCACTACTCACTACTCGGCCCCGGCGTGCGCGCAGCACTACTCACTACTCGGCCCCGGCGTGCGCGCAGCACTACTCACTACTCATGTGTGAAAGCCCAGCAGGGCCGCTGTTCCTGATATATCCATGCCAGTGCATCTGGTGGACACTACCATGCCATGTTCAAAGTCACTTAAATCTTTTGTCTTGCCCATTCTCCCTCTGAATTGCACACACGCAAGTCAGAGGGACCTGCTTATCTTCCTATATAATATAATTATTGCCTGTACATATATAGCACTTTTCTGGACACTCCACTCAGTGCTGAACAAATATTGGGAATCCCCTCCACCACCACCAGTGTGCAGCCCCACCTGGAAGATGCGCCAGTCTGCTCACACACACCAGCTCTCAGTGGGGAGGAGAGCAGAGTGATGAAGCCAGTTCAGAGGAGGGGATTATTAGGAGGCCTAATTGGTAAAGGCCAATGGGAAATTTGGCCAGGACACCAGGGTTACACCCCTACTCTTTTGAAAATACCCTGGGATATTTAATGACCAAAGAGAGTCAGAACCTTGATTTAATGTCTCTTATCTTTTTTACAATACAGTGTCCCTGTTACTATACTGGGGCATTAGGACCCACACAGACCGCAGGGTGAGCGTCCCCTGCTGACCCCACTAACACCTCTTCCAGCAGCAGCCTTAGCTTTCCCAGGAGGTCTCCCGTCCAGGTACTGACCAGGCTCACACCTGCTGAGCTTCAGGGGGTAATATTAGCAGTATTAGTTCTAGTGACAGCACGAATGCTAATGTTATTAGTGCTACAGAGGAAAAAAAATGCTTTCAAACAACATTGTGTTTAAACACTAATTATTGTGTTTAAATGAGATAACATTGCCTTTAAAAGAGACATGCAATATACAATGTTATCTCATTTAAATGCAATCATGGTTTTTCCTCTGTGGCACTAAAAGGTTTCTGTAGATTTAATCATGTACTTTTTTTTAAGTACTAAGAGTTAAAATGGTAACGGGAAACTGTGGAAAACACATGGAAGATTTAGAACTTAAAAAATACAGGGTCATGACAAAAATGTGTTCATGTATCAAATTCATATTTTGTATTTCAATATTTACTGTATGTCATAATTACAACCATGTGTTTTGTGCACTTTAAATCTGTTCCACAAATTCACTGAAAACGTCTTTGACATATAATGTATGTCATAGTAATGTACATTTCTATGTAAAATGTACAAAACTGAAACATTGTTATAAGAATACATACTAATTAATTTAACATTATGAAAAATATCTTGAAAGTCTCTAGGTTTTAAAGTTTTCTAAGAAGCATCATACGTTTACTGAACTTTACTCTAATGTTGCTCACAGAAATAAAAAAAAACTCAGAATGTTCAGTTGTGAAATTTATCGGATCAACTTCACTATTATCAGATAATTCCAAAAATAAGAAAGCTTACATTCATAGATCACAAAACATTAATTCTTTGTGTATCAGCAACTTGTAAATGTCTTTTTTTTTCTTCCGTAAGAAAAATAATGTAAATAAAGGCTTTGTAGATACTTTTTAGTTAACAGGAGAAATGCTGTTTATGTTTATGGACAACAAAACAGGTATAGTTCACATGGACAGATTGTAAAAGGTTAAACTT